ACAGGCATAGAAAGGAAAATACCCAAATAAATGATGCCATTGCACTCCAGCCTGGGCAACAAGAGCGAAACTCTGTCTCAAAAAAAAAAAAAAAAAAGATACTAGCCATTAAGGGTAGAAGGAATGACAATATTTTAAAAATTCACCATTTTGTAATCCCCAGTATGATATGGGAAATTAAATTTAGGCAAGGATCATCATGGAGGCGAATATCCTGGTGAGAAGCTGTTGGGCTGTTCACATGGTGCCATAGATTACTTACTCATCAAACATAAAGGGAAAAACATGTCTTTACACTAGAGAAATCCTACAGTTACCACCTTAACCAGATCGTCAAAGTCAGCATCACTAGCGCAGGAAATCATGATGTTAATGTTTTATTTTGTTGGATGCAGTAAGAAGTACCGAATTCACTTATGAAGCATTCTTTCCAAAAATGTTTAAGCAACCTTCATGTTTATCTGCAGGATTACCTTCTTTAGTTAGAATTGTAAATTATTCCCCGTCTCTACTAAAAAATACAAAAAATTAGCCGAGTGTGGTGGCGGGCGCCTGTAGTCCCAGCTACTCGGGAGGCCGACGCAGGAGAATGACGTCAACCTGGGAGGCGGAGCTTGCAGTGAGCCGAGATCGCGCCACTGCACTCCAGCCTGGGCGACAGAGCGAGACTCTGTCTCAAAAAAAAAAAAAAAAAAAAAAAAAATTGTAAATTATTTTACTGTATGACCTTAGGTAGGTTATGTTAGTGACTTGTCTGAGTCTCAGAGCCCTTCTTTGTAAAACAGTGACACTGAATCAGAAAAAACGTATGAAAGTAACCTAGCATGTAGTTTGTTATATCATAAGAATGTAACACTAGTTCAGCTCTGCTGTCAGAATCCATTCATAGCCATCAAGTATATAGCTGAATGAAAACTACATTTCTCTTTTTAACATCTTATTTCCTTACCTAATTCGATGTAATTTGATGGCATGCTTTATGAATTCTCTATACTTGCTTAGATCCATAAGCTATGAAGCCCCAAGTATGCCATAAACCCTCTAATCCAAAACGTTCAAGGGACATTTTAGGTAACAGAGCATGGGATTAGAATATTTCTATACTCATTAGAAATTTACGTTGACTTATATGAAACTACCAGTTTTGTAGATTAAAAATCGTGAAATATCAGCAATGTCATGTGATTCAATCTAATAATGTGCTTTAGTGGCGGAAGCTTAGTACATCATCAACATTTGCCAAGCATTCTTTCTTTTTCCTTCCTTATGGCTTTAGAAAAAGATTTGCACAGAGGAGGAGAGAAGGATTTGTATTGAGCCAAGTTTTAAGGAAATTGTGATGTGAACTCTAAATCTATTGTGATGTATATTCTAAATATTTTTGGGTATTTCTTCATTTTATGTTCTCCTCTCCTCCCATGTACTATAGTTACTCTTTCCAATCACGTCTTACCTCTTGGCTTTTCTTTCCAGGTAGTGGGAAATGAGACAAAGCTTTTCTTTTTCTGTACTTTAAATTCTGGATTGGTCTTTTTGAATAGGCAGTTGCAGAATTTTGAAAACATGAGCAAGAATAATTTACTTCAAGTCCCAGCTGGTTCTCTTCCAAAGATAGCACTTAGAAATGATAATGTGCTTTTTTCCTTTGTACCCTAGTTCCTAGTAGAATGTGGAAGGTAAGACGGATGGATTTTGAGTACATGTCATTTTATAGAATATAAACAATGGCCGGGTGCAGTGGTTCACGCCTATAATCCCAGCACTTTGGGAGGTCAGGAGTTCGAGACCAGCCTGACCAACATGGTGAAACCCCGTCTCTGCCAAAAATATAAAAATTAGTTGGACATGGTGACACACCCCTATAGTACCAGCTACTTGGGAGGCTGAGGCAGGAGAATCGCTTGAACGTGGGAGGTGGAGGTTGCAGTGAGCCAAAATTGTGCTACTGCACTCCAGTCTGGGTGACAGAGCAAGACTCTGTCTCAAAAAAAAAAAAAAAAACATATATATATATAAAAACAATGAAGTAATAATTCATAGGAGATTGGAAAGTTTCCAGCTGTGAAGGGAGTATTGAAATTACATCATAGCAAGAATTCTTCCTGGAGTACGGCCCTTATAACAAGAATCATAATTGTTACTCCCTTCAGAAAGTGGCGTATCTTCCTTAAAGAAACTGTGCTGGGCAATTGTATATGGTTTTAATATTCCTAACCCTCCTTTTTATTTCCTCAAACAAGAAGAAACAAATTCATGGAATACCGTCCCTCTCAAGGAAATGTGATCAACCCTGCATATAAATAGCTTTATTAAAATCCTTAGTTGTTGGCAAGCCATATCATTGCCAGTTTGAAAGTTACTGTTTGTCTTCTAGACAGCTGCTCAGGAAGCAATCTTGCATGCGTCTGGAAATGGCACAACCAAGGACTACTGCATGCTTTATAACCCTTATTGGACAACTCTTCCAAGTACCCTAGAAAATGCAGTAAGTAAATCACAGTTACTATTCATAAACATAAAAATAGTGAAGAAGGAGGCTGGGTGCGGTGGCTCACGCCTGTAATCCCAGCAATTTAGGAGGCCGAGGTGGGCGGATCGCGAGATCAGGAGATTGAGACCATCCTGGCTAACACGGTGAAATCCCGTCTCTACTAAAAATACAAAAATTAGCCGGGTGTGGTTATGGGTGCCTGTAGTCCCAGCTACTCAGGAGGCTGAGGCAGGAGAATGGTGTGAACCCAGAAGGCGGAGCTTACAGTGAGCTGAGATTGTGCCACTGCACTCCAGCCTGGGCGACAGAGCAATACTTTGTCTCTTTAAAAAAAAAAAAAAAAAAAAAGTGAAGATGGCTGGGTACAATGGCTAATACCTGTAATCTTAGCACTTTGGGATGTCAAGATGGGAGGATTGTTTGAGACCAAGTGGTCAAGACCAATCTGGTCAGCATAGTGACACCCTGTCTCTATTTAAAAAGAAAAAAGAAAAAATATTGAAGAAGTGAAAATGAGTGATAATTATGTTTTATTGTGTGAAACCATTGTAATGTATAGTTGCTAATAAATAATAATTTTATTGATTTTTCTCAAGTATTTTTCTCTCTAGAAAAATAGGGAATTTTAAAATACTTAATTCTAAGCCTAAATATTTCTAATTCAAACGATATTGTCTTAAACCAATATTGATAACTGAATGCAGTATTTATAACTGAATGCATTTAGGATGAAATATGATTTTCATCATGTTAAGAAGACATTTCTTATTTTCAGACTTCCGTTAGTTTGATGAATCTGACTTCCACACCACTATGCAACCTTTCTGATATTCCTTCTGTTGGCATAAAGAGCAAAGCAGTTGTGGTTCCATGGGGAAGCTGCCATTTTTTTGAAAAAGCCAGAATTGCACAGAAAGGAGGTGCTGAAGCAATGTTAGTTGTCAATAACAGTGTCCTAGTAAGTTATAAAAACGATCATAACTTATTTTGAGTTCATGATGTGAAATTTCACAAAAATGGAATTAACGTCTTTGTGTGTGGTTTAGAGGCTGAGTTTTGAATAATCTGATGGCAAGATTCTTTGTAAATAAATAATCAAGATCTCATAGGCATTTGCTTGGAAAGCTTTTCAGTTTTTCTATTCCTAGAGCAGATAAGACTTTGTTAGAAACAAATATATATATATATATATTCATATATATATTCATATATAGCTATATATATTCATACATAGGTATATATGTATTACACATACATAATATATATCATAAATGCTCTCTATATTATAGCATTTATCAGTTTAAGTTCATGTTAAAAGGATTCAATTTTGAGAACTTACAGAATATTAAGAAAGAATACCTGACATTTTTGTCTTATAAAGAAAGCTGTAATATTGATATTTAGTGGAATAGTATTTTATTCTATAATATATTAGTAGTAAATAAGTTTTCATAATTTTTTTTTCTTTTAGTTTCCTCCCTCAGGTAACAGATCTGAATTTCCTGATGTGAAAATACTGATTGCATTTATAAGCCACAAAGACTTTAAAGATGCAAACCAGGTAAATTAGCAATTACATATTAGATAAAGTTTATAAATACTATATCTCTTTATTTTTAATCACTGATGTTTAATTTTGAGTGCTATATTTGCTCCATTTGCCAACAAGAAGCTATAAGGCCTATCAAGTTTTTCTTTGGAAAATACTCATCTCTCATTTGGCACAAAGTGTCTCAAAGCCTAAACTTTAGAAAGGATGTTTGTTTTCAGTTCTTTAAAAGTCTCTTGTCATGTCATTTATCTTAACTTTAAATTCCTGAACAAAATATGACTATGTAGAACACTACACTTTAGAGATTTTATAAACCAAAGCATATCATCATACTTTTGACTAGAGAATATATCATGTCATCAGACAATAATTCTAGCCTTCTTGACTGTCTGATGTATAATGTCCATTGCAGAGTGAAATGTAGACTATTGCTGTTATGACTATAGTAGAGAAAAAAGTTATTCCTGTGTTTAACTGTTATTTTGCCTTTCAGATTCTGGGAAATAACATTACTGTGAAAATGTATTCTCCATCGTGGCCTGACTTTGATTATACTATGGTGGTTATTTTTGTAATTGCTGTGTTCACTGTGGCATTAGGTGGATACTGGAGTGGACTAGTTGAATTGTAAGTTTAATTAACTTAAGCGTTTTTGTCATCAATGGTTAAAAATTTCTGCAATCATTTTAATTATATAACAACATAAAAATTGTATCTGCCCTCAGAATGTGATGCTAGTAAGCCCAGTCTGCAGGTTTGTCCTCATGTAGATCATTCATGTTTTCACCAGAGAGAAAAGAGTCACAGATTTCTCTTAACTCTTCCACTGTCAGAGGAACACTGACATCACATCAGAGACTCTTTTAAGTTAAAATGTTTAATTCTGTCTCCCAGGAAGGGTCATGGGAGATATCCTAATATGCCTATTGATTTAGATTGGAAGAAAATAAGCAAGAGAAAGTAGGGAGTTTCTCAGCTCCTCCTGGGCTGAGTCATTACAGTGTGGCCTCATCATTCTGTTTAATGCTTTAGGAATTCTAAGGATGTTAGTAATGTCCACCTTTTTTCTTCACTTAGTCAAGATTTATTTCAAGGCTTGAAAACATTCAGGCCAACTAAAATGGTACTACTGTCACCTTTTTTTTTTTTAGCAAATTCCATTTAATTTCCTTTTTCTTCCTTTCTTGCTTTAATTGTACTTTAAGTTCTAGGGTA